ATACGTGCAAAAATAATAAGACCGTTAAATACTTCACGCCGCTTTATATTTACTTATTATTTATTTACATTTTCCTTATTTGCACAAATACATAATTGTATTTGTAAAACGTAGCGTACGCTCGCACCGGTGTTGAGCCTGCTGCTGCTGATGCCGGTGATAGTGATTGGTGAAAATTGCACATCATCAATAATTTCCCATTATCCCACGTAACAATCACGCCGACAAGCATAACAGAAGCGTGAATGGCGTAAAAAGCGTACAAATCGCCTTTGTATGCGCAAGAAAACGCCAACACACACACGCAAACAAATGTATGAATGATTTTTTAATAAAAGACATAAGCAGCGAACTTGCTTTTGACCAAACATATATACATATATATATGTTATATGAATATATACATTTGTATCTATACCTGCAGCAGCCGAGAGCCATGCGACATACAAATACAATATTGCGTCGATTTGCCAGCCAGAGTAAAGAAATTGCAATTGAATACGAGTATTGCAGTAATATTTAGCAGCAACAAACACACGCAGTAGAGCTATACAGCAAAGGTTAAATATTTGCAAAGGAAAAATAAAATCATTTTGCCACAAATAATAACAGTTATTTAGTAATCAATTCGTTTCCGTTTGCCACGCGCGCTTAGCACGCCACCAATTGTTTATAAACGCGCGCACATTTCACACGCTACCCTGTAGGAAAACTTTGCGCTGGTGGGTGGAAATTAAGTTCAGTGTTAAAAGTTTTATAATTCAGCACAAATAGTTGTGAAATTAGTTTTGCAAGTTTGTTAATTGTTTCCCCCAAAATATAAGAGATTGGTCTATATCTTCACAAAGATCCAAAACTAAATAATATATTAATCGTCCAGACGTTCAGTATTGATATATGAGATGATAAGTGGTTGGTGTTAAAGTGGTTAGGTTTGTAAAAATCATTATATATGATATCATAAAAAATTTCTTACAAAGGATTCTTAATTTTGTTCAACGAAAAATTTGACACCCTTTTTATACCTAGAATAGGATATATTAAGTCTGTCACAAAGTTTGTAACAACTTAAAAGAAACGTCGGAGACCCTATGAAATATATATTTAAAAAATCGGCATAACTTGCTGAGTCAATTTAGCCATATCCGTCTGTCTGTTAGTGTGTATATCAACGAACTAGTATTTCGGAAATATCGTCCTGAAATTTTGCACACGTTCTTTTTCTCTAAGAAGCGGCTCATTGGTCGGAAGCGATATCAGACCACTATAGCATACAGCTGCCATACAATATGAGCGATCGAAATCAAGTGTTTGCATGGAAAACTTATTAATTTGACGAGATATCTTCAGAAAATTTAGCATGGTTTTTTGACTAAGTGCATAGTGTAATTTATGAGGAACCACTCGCAATACTCGCAAAGATTTTAGGAGCTATGGTACCCGAACTAGTTCTTCCTTACATTTTATAAATGATTTTATTTATTTTATAAATATTTCTTGCTCGATATTTGTGAGGACTTCACCCTCGACGCTGCTTGAATTTTACCATTCTATACTTGTTATTTAATTACGTTTCTCCTTTTATTTGAAACTTGTTATCAAAATAATTGTTTTGCTTTAACAAAAAAATTTTTAGTTTCTCTAAAGTTCATGAAAAATAACAAAATGGCGTTAACAAGTCATCATCACAACTCACATGCAATAAAATAAATTTAGGTCGCACTGAAGTACCTTAGGATATTGAGACTAAATATTTGAGTATTGTGTTAATGCGTAGATAGTGTTCACTTAAGCATGGATTTCATATAGAAAACTAACTATGTAACATAGAGTCACGTGCAAAAGTCGGGAAAAAAGCTCAGCGTAAAGCATGTGAATGAAAAAGGATTTATATATTTGAACGAGATTATGTACATAAAGCATATCTATAACTAATTAGTTAAATATGACATAAAAGGAGTTAATCGCGGGACAAGCTAAAATATTTTGTAAGTCACAAAAAATAATTATTAATATAAATATGTAAACATATATACTTATGTACATACATATGTACGCACACTTTTATTTCACACGCTCCATACAATGCTGCCTTAAGTGTGCATCATTAGCCGCCAACTATTTGCGGCATATAGGAAAAAACTATAACAATATAAACAATGGCACGACAACACAAAACGCTTTAATTCTCCATTTTAAAAGCAATTATTTCTGCGCACTTCATTTGTCGCCGCGCGCCACACTTCAGCACACAATTGACACAATTAAAAAGACGTACAAGTGCCGATCAAAACAATTATGTATGCCGTAAATAATCACCTAGTTGTTGTTGTTAGTGAATGCCTCATCTTTTGCGGTGTGTCGGTCATGAGCTGCTGCGCTTTGATGCGCAGATGACAATGAAGAGTTTGTTTAAGAGCTTAAACGGCTGGCGACTACTGACCATTTGATCGGCTGTTAAACGACTCATTAGTGGCGACAGGTATGTATTAGGGTGTGTCATTTTAGGCAACTTTTTTCAACTAAAGAATCAGCAAACCACTGTTAAGAAGGTAACAGGAAGTCTCTTAAATTTTAATTTTTTTTTTTATTAAGATAAGAGGCATCTCTAACTTCTCAATTTTCAGTTATTGAATGGGTAACATTTTTTATGTCCTATTTTGTAGCTTGACATTTGAGCTTTGTAAAAATAAACTGGAAAACGCTTCTGACTGGTAATTGAACGATCTATGTATAGAACTATGATACATTTTTTTATACAGTGAACCATTCTGAAGATGTGCAAATTTAAAGTTGTGTGAATGAATTATGACTTTTATATTTTTTTTATGTAGGGCCTTCAATTTCTATCCATTTTTCAGTTGAAATTTACAATGCCCAAATGTCATACTACAAAAGTAAGAAAAAACATCAACTTCGGTTTACCGAAGCTATAATGCTCTTTACAAATACAAAATCTTTCTTACAAGAACTTCATTCCGATCACTAGTAATCCGATATTGGCGGTTCCGACAAATAAACAGCTTCTTGGGAAGGATGTGTGCAAAATTTCAGATCGATATCTCAAAAACTGAGGGGCTAATTCACGTATATACAGACGGGCATGGCTAACATAAATCAACTCAATGCGTCAGCTGATCATTTAAGTATATATAATATTTTATAGGGTCTTTGACGTGTGGTGTTACAAACTTCGTGGCAAAATTATATAACGTTTTCAGAATCGAAAAAAATTTGTTTAAAGTGGCACACCTTAATATGTATGTATTTAAGTATATATTATAAAATATATATGTATTTATATATACTGCCATTTATAAATAATTTGTGCGCACGTGATGCGGTGAAGGCAAAAGTGAAAAGCGTTGGAATGCTGAATGTACATATACATATATATATATATACCATATACATACATATACATAGTGTTATACGTATATATATAACACATATACACTACAAAAAATTATATATATATATTTATAATATAGTATCTATATAAATGTACATACATTACAGTTAAAGTAGCAAAAATCGCGCTTAGCCGCCTTTTGTTCTCCTCCCAGCCAGACATGTTTTTGACACTTTGACAGTTTTAAGTGAAAATTAACCAATAAGCTTTTGACACTTGAGTGCAAGTAAAACAACAAAAAAAAACATGAAAATACCACTGGGCACTCAGGTGTACACTCGTTGATGCTTGGCTGACGGGCGTTTGTAGAATTGAAAGTACCAGATCGGTTGAGGGAACTTTCTTATTGCCTTTGTATTCAGCGCTTGCGGTGACGCCGACAATTGTACTTAAAGTAGCAGACTTTTAGTAGGAGTTTTGGAGATTTGGCGAATTTATATAACAGCATTATAGCAAGTGAAATTTGCCAAGAAATACTACTGTGTAGGTGTGATGATACGCCATTGATAAAAGCATAATACCTATGTGCGAATAGCTTTTACAATTCAATAAAATAACTGCATACTCATATACATACATACATATGTGACGCACAAATAAATACACGTTTTTGCTGAAGCTCATTCACCCAACACCTCACAGCGGGAATTCTTCATGCGCAATATTTTTCCTTCAATTCACCTGCACGTGTCTAATAAATGTACATCACATTTTTAATTTTAGAAAAAACTTTCAATTTCGTTTCGAGCATTAAAAATGGAAAAAAAATTTTATTTCTAAAGCAGCAATACCTAGCAACTGCACTTTTATTTTCCGCTTAGACGAAAATCATGCAAGCCGTGAGCTTAATATCCGTGTAGACGAATACTTTTGCAGCTGGGTGTTGACTATTAATTCGTAATTTAGCGCATTAAAATTCCCTTTCCATTGCGCATCGTAAAGCATTAAATACAAGTAAAGTACACGCGGTGCATACGTAAGTACATACAAATGAGCACCGTTGATGCGGACCTACCAAGGCGCTGTACTTAAAACGGACTTTGGTGGTAATTTTGAGGAAACGTAAAGAAGAATGAAGAAGATATTTAAGCTATGAAAAAGCATTATAACAAGTAAGTTACTATTAAGAAATTATATTTTAGAATGTCAGTGATGATTGGTGGCTCTAAGGATTTTCAATTCAATCGTTTACAATTAGAGTCTCACCAGAACATCCGAGGTCTACAAATATCTTAAAGGCTTATTTTAGTATAGTCTTTATCATTGCTGAGGCTTTGACGATTACTTCAGTTCAGATTTAGTGATCTCAACAATTTCTTCGGAGATTTTTACGATGTCTTGGATAATAATTTATGCCAAATTTCTTGATCGCTCAGTTTGTATGGCAGCTATATGCTGTAGTTGTCCAATATCGGCCGTTTCGACAAATGAGCAGCTTCTGGTTGAGAAAAGGACGGGTGCAAGTTCGATATCTCAATAATTGAGTGACTAGTTCGCATATATGTAGACAGACAAACAGACGGACAATGTTGTATCGATTCCGCTCATCACTCTGATCATTTATATTTTATTTATTTATTTATTTATAGCTTCGAAGCAGCTGAAGTTAACGTCTTTCTTCTTTAATAAGGTAAATTGCATATAAATATTTATATAATTATCACTTACAACTCTTCCTCCTACTCGTGGAATACGTCTAAATCTTATCCGACAAAGAGATTAAGACTAGTTTGAAGTCGGCCAAAAACGACTGACATGGTTTTATGACTGAAAACATTCCCAGTTTTGCCAAAAAAGCTACTCAAAAATAGTACTAACGTTCGTAGCGGAGTTGCCTTTGAGTCCAGCTTCGAACTTCAAACTACTGTTACCCCTGCTGCAGCGGCTCTCTAAGAAAGTTGGGCTATTGAAGTTTGAAGATTATTTCCAAATGCTTCTTTCATCATTTTAAAAAGCTTGTTCGGACAATATCAGATTATTTTACTACAACTCTTAAAAATTCCACTGTAAATCTATGGTTATATAATCTTTTTCGTTTATTCTCATGGGTAGTGACTACAAGAATAATATCTTCAAAGTCGAAAATCGTATTTTGTAGTACTTATTATTGTACTATCGCAGTTCATTTTACTCGGGAATAAGTTTTTAATGAGACTAATAGTCGTAAAGTTTTACATAATTGGAATATCTGTGGTATACTCGTATGTGCTTATGCCATTTTTCACTTTGTATAATACAGTGATTTTGACTTCAATTCGACAGTTTTGTGAGTCTGTTGTGTATGAATAGCTGTCATATGAAATTTATGTAGCACATAATCTCAAAATACTACAGAACCTCAAAGTGGGACATAATCTCAAACGCAAAACAAAAATGCATTGCATTGCTGTAGATGTCAAGGTATGATATTTTTGTAACAGTGTTTGATTGCTTATCATTTCAAGCCACTTTCCAATCGAACTGTTGCCGCACCTTTACCACCTTCAGCTTATTATGTAAAACTTTTAGTTATACAATGCAATAACAACTACCGGTTTAAGGAAAGCAAGAGTTATGTGTTTATGGAATCACCATAATGAGTGTCACTTCAGTTTTCATCATATTACATCATATCACAACAACAGCAACACTTAAAATGTAGTGCAACATTTAAAGGATGACTTGTAGTAAACAAATACGACACATGGCCGAAGCCAACGATTTATGCACCAACAAATGTAAAGCAACATAATTACGCCAACATTGCTGTTTGCCAATGTGGAAAATTTTAATAGCGCAATGTTGCATGCCACATGTGTCAACGCCGCCACACGCAACAGCTGCAGCAGCGCTCTCCAGCAATCTGCGCTTTTCCATCTTCACCTTTCACTAACTACAGCGCACCACCATATTCGTGTGTGTTCGTCGGTTTCAATATATTTATGTGTGTGGTACAATAAAAAAAAACATCACTACAAAATTTTATTACTTTGACATTTTAGCTTTTATGTGGCGCATCGGTGCGCTACTGGCAATTTTTATTGTCTGCCATTCAATTGCAAACGATTGCTGATATTGTTGGGCGCTATTGTTGTTGTTGCATGCATATTATTCGGTCTAGACGCGTTGTATGTGCGTGCGCATCATAAAGTATGCGGCGAGTGTCATGCGCCTGCGCATAATAAAATTACGTTAACGTTTAAGTCAATGACATGACAAGCGGGGGCGGTGCGGAATCGTTGTTGCACGCCGATAGTCGCTAAATTATGACGAAATATTGCAGTTGCTGTCATATAAGCTGTGACACATGCGTATATCACATAGTGTTTCAGTTATTTATGTGCAATAGCACCACCCATTATGCACTTATTTATCTATGTAATTGTGTGTATATATGTATGTTGGTATGTATATACTAAGTAGTTGTGCATACCTTAACTATTATGCAGTGTTATTTAATTTTCGAAACGACACTTAAATGTAATATTTTTACGGATTTTTATGTGTTTGTTGTTGTTTGTTCATGAGTTATGTCAGTAGCGCTGGTAATTTGAAGCTAGCTAACTGCTGCAACACGCCCCACCATTCGTTTTGGTTTATTTTCTTAATTTTGGATTTTGTGTTTCGAGCTCTGTCTTCCGCCTTGTGTGCAATTATTCTGCTCGATGTCACCAGCTAAATGACAACAACTTACAATAAAATGCATTTAACACTGTAGAAATTCAAGCGATTCGAAGCGACTATGTAACTGGTGATTATGTATGGGAATATGTTTTTGTAAGATTTTTACAATTTTTATTACAATAGCATTTTATGTTGGTAGAATTTTCATTTGGAAATAATTTGAAATTTCATGTAACACTTAATGGTGATACAAGCTATTGGTTTGTGTATATAGTTGTTGTTTTATTACTACATATGTTAATTTGTTAGTTTACAATGGCTATCAAAGCAACTTTACTTACACTTCAATAATAAATACTTTGTTTCTTTGTATATATAAAATAAATTGTGTATTACAAAAAGGTTGGCAACTCTTCTCACAATTATTTTTAGCCTTCAGACTTCTCGCATACTATTAATTTTTCACTAATATTATAATAACATTTTTTTTATCGAATTAGAAATAGGTGGCAACTACTCGCATACCATTAATTTTTCACTAATATTAAAATAACACATTTTTTGCTTTTTAAAAATAGGTGACAACTTTTCTTTACATTATTTTCAACTTTCGCTCATTTTGAACTTTCAATTGAACTAAATTTTGAAACCGGTGGCAACTCTCTTTAAATTTTATTATCAATTGCACACTTTTTCAAATCTCCTCAGCTTTACAAGCCATATTATGACGCTTATTTTTCTCGTGAAATATATTGCTTTATAACTTTCGAAAAATTACAACTTTTCAAAAAATATAAATACGATAAAAATTATAATATTCCATATACAATATTTTATCAATTTGAGTGAAAACGTTTAAACAGGTGTCAACTCTACTCCGAAATATTTTCATTAAAAACCTTGTTAGCATTCTTATTTTGATACCCACACTACAACAGTTCGTTTACCTTATTATATTTTTCTAATTAAAATTTAATTAATCTTACTAAAGTTTTTTACCAGAAAGAAGAAGAAGAATGCCACTGTTCGAAACTATTGGCCGTATTAAAATTTTTATATAGATTAGTATTCGAAAATATCTTCGAATATAAACCTACTTAGTTTGTTACCTACATATGTTCATAAATTTTAATAATTTATTTATTTTTTCGATTTTATCAAATTCATATTTGTAACTAAGTGGCAGCCCTGCTCGAAAATATTTTCAACTAAAAGCTTACCCAAGACCCTTTCATTTCATATCCATATTACCATTTTTCTTTTATCTTACCGATTCTACCGAATTAACATTTTCAAATAGGTGGCAACTAGTCTGAATAAGTATTCTTAATTACTAGCTTCCTTACACCTCTTCAATTTGACATCTATATTACAGTTGTTTTTTTATCAATAAAATTGTATCGATTTAAATTGTTTGTAAGTCAAAGTGATGGCAGCACTGCTTAAAAATATATTTAACTGTAATTTTTTAAGCTTACAAAGTTTAATACCCATATTGTAGTAGTTTCTATTTTTTTAAAAATATATTATATTGATATATAAGTTGTTGTACACCTCTACAGTTTGATAACTATATTGTTGTGTGTTCTTATCATATCTATATTTTTAAGTCACACGTGGCAACCTAAGAAGTTTTTTATTTTTATTTCAAATCAATAGCAAACATTTTTAAATTTGAACTCATGACTATTAGTGGTTATTAACTGCGCTTAAACATTAACAGTCACAGCTTGTGGCGTGAAATTTACATAACTTTGAATAATTTTCTTTTGTGGTGGATATTATATTAACCATGGTGTAATTGTCATGCTTAAAGTTATGTCCCATGAAGGTCTCTACGCTTATAGTTATTAAATTAAAATTAAATTAAATTATTTTTGAAACTCAATGTTGTAATATTTTAAGTAGCTTCCAATTATATCCTATAATATGATAATAATGTTATAACTTTAGGTGTCTTTAAGTCTTTTCAATACAGCCTTCTTGGTTGGCTTATATCTATAATTTCGCGCCAAAATAACATTTAATTCATAGTTAATGGCAGAATTGAGTTTATAATATTTTAAAATGTGTTCCAGCTTAGTTTTTACAAACTATTCTAATTACTACCTAAAATGTCTCACCGAAAATAAAAAGTGGGTAATACACTAAAAAAAATTTTAGTTAAAACAGTAGCGTTTCATTCCCAATATTTTACGATATTATTAAAAATATTTTTTAGCAAGTATTTTTTATTACATTTTGTTTAACTACCATCTGTCTACTTTCAATAAAACAGGATATAGCTATTTATCTGTACAACCCAGTGGCCTAAAAAGCTGACAAGCACCTTACAGCTGATTTTCGTTTACAACCCAAAGTGAACATAAAAAATACACAAATAAAATAAATATTAATAAAAAAAAAGAAAAGACTAAGTTGTTAAAATATATTTTTAGGTGACCACACATCACAGCCCTTTAGCTGCGCACAGTAATATGTTAATAAATGCGCTTAACTATTCAAGTAGCTAAGCACTTTTCGCACCTACTATAGCTTTAGTTTATATGTGGTAACTGGCACACAAACATAAAAATATCTTTATTGAGGGTCTACTTAATTAAATTTGTAATATTTTTATGAAACTTTTATTACAGTGCAAAATGGTTTATACCTTAACAAATTTGCTTGCCATTGCAAAGTTGAGCGATATTGCGAAAATCAATAAAAAAAAGAAATATAAATGGGTTTATGCGGCTTTTGATTTTGCTGGCTTTGCCGCTTAATGGCACAAGTTGAGTGTTAAAATTACAAAACTTGAATATTACGCCAGTCCACTTTTGAGCCCTTAACCTAATTTCCAGTTTAAGTCAACTAAAAGTTTTGTTAATGAGGCCAATAGAGTTGACGCAAAAGAACAGCGTAGACATCTAATATTCTATAAGTACTTAAGTGCTTATCAATAGTTTTGAGTACAATGAAAATAATAATTTAAAGATAATGTTTTAAGTAATCTCCCTATTCTGGTAGAAACTCCCTCCTCTATGTTTACTAAATGAGCTCTTTTAATAAGCCAATGACTTTAATTATTTCCTCGTGTACTAAATTAATTAAATAATAAGTCGAAAAGTTTCGGTTATAAGGCTAAATTTTCGTTGGTTGTGCTAAATATGACAACTCAGTTCAAATCTGCTTATTTGTGCATTAAAGACGCTTATAAAATCGTTCTTATCTTTTAATAATGTGTATGGTACTAAATGTGTAAGATATCGAAGTGTAAAATAAAAACCTTTTCCATAAGTTCGAGCTTATTCCTTTATTTAAAGTTATCGTCCTCATGACTTCCGTACGCGAAGCCACGGCACGACGTAACCGTATAGGACATTAATCTCAGAAATATTTTGAAAATATTACCTAATGCTACAACAACAACATGACTTGTGAGATTCTTATAAGTTGGAAACTCTCTCCAAAACCTTTAAGAGAATTTCGCATCCTTTTCGGAAACTTGATTTCAAGCTAGACCCCTTCTAGAGGTGGAACAAAGCTTCAAAGCTTTTAGCCTATAACTTTAGTACCTACATACTTGGTTATACTTATACTTATACTTATACTTATACTTATACTTATACTTATA